TAAACGGTTTCTTAGAATTGTTGAAAGTGTTGAAAGATGATTTAGAGCGAAATTTCGATTTTGCAAACATCCCAGTTGCGCTTTCTCCCTCAGTTTTCCTCCTACTCCATTCTGCTTTAACTCCAGCCTGTACTTCACTTGAAGATAGTGATTCCCTAAGCCAAAGCGTCTGTTTAAGCGTTGTGAACGATTCTGGAAGCGCCAACGTCATAGCGTAGGCCAACATTTTGTCTGAAAGATTTTCTCCTGCCGAATTCAACTGAGCATGTGCACTGTGTTGCGCAGCAAGTGCTAACATTGGATCCTCCCCTTCCAAAATCGGTTTTTGAGCCATTTCTTGAAGAAGAGCAGCTTGTCTAGCTCCAACAGCTGCAGAGTACTGTTTCTTGATCTCATCCCAAAGCAATTTCAGATTTGGTGATTTCCAGTCCTCAACATTGGATGGTAAAGCGGATGAGATTGTTTCTGAAAGCGATTGAAATATGATTGAGTACGCTTTTGCACTTTTCAGACGTTCTTTGATGTTTTCTTTATCTTTCAAGTCTTTAGAGGGTGGTTCGTTGTCGATATACGGTAGTAATCCCTTGCCCACAAGTGTGGTAGCCATATGAGCTTCCCATTGAGCATAATTCTCGCTTCCTTGCAATTTTACAATTTTAACTTTTACTTCGGTGTCAGATGAGTCGGACATATTTCAAGATTGGATAACTCAATAATGAATGGACAAACAAAGCTGATTATGTGTGTGGTGGTAGAAGCAATGTGCGCCTATCAGTGTAATAAAATTGAGTCCAATTGGTTTGGTGTGGACCAAGTGAAAGGAGAAAGGAAACATTTGTTTCTAAATTTCAATTGTGGTGTCAAATTTACGGAATGCTGATAACTTTGGAACGACCACGGCTACAATGCTGAGATTGACGGTGGTGATAGACGCAGGGACAGCGGATATGTGTACCAAATAAGAGGACTGAAATGGCAGTATTGACTGAGATAATGGAAAAGCGATATTTTTCCAAATGTAAATCAGCTGAAGTTCAAACAACAAGGAATAGACTCTCAGAGTGACTCAGCTGATTGCGAGGCGCGCTTGGTATGTCCTGGGACTCAGAGGTGCTCCACTGCGGTGTCCAGATTTGTCTACACCATTGTATTCAAGGGGGAATCCTTGATGCACCTCCCACAGTCATGAAGGTCCGATTTGGGAATATGAAAACATTATTGAATGAGAGAAAAAAACGCAAAAAGTGTGGAAGTGAGTTTGCCTTCGCCTCCGCTTCTGCAGGACTTGCCTTTGCTCCCAGCCGGGAGCATTGATACCGATACCAGAGGCTTGTTGTAAAGCGTGAGTTTGAAGAGTAAGAAGAGCAATAATTTGAAGTATATGAGTAGGGGATTAAATGAATATAGCAAGTAATCAATTTTGTGAAATCTTGGTTTTCTCCCCAACCAATGATCCAATTCTCAATTTCTTTCTAAATATCAATAGTTAGTAATTGCAGACAGGAGCTGGCAAAGAGATTTTGTCACGAGGACCAACTAACCAGCATTGGCTCGATATAACAGTGCCCAACGGAACAGTGATCTTAACCACTGCGATGGAAAGGCCTATTAATTGGCGGTTAACTCTACCGCTGATCGCTGGTTAAATACCCTTCCCCAACTTTCGCTCGACTTGTCACACACTTTGTGACAGATTTGGTGTTTTGGATGAGAATTGATGGACTGGGGTGTCACGCCTGCTGGTAGACTGCAGTTGCAAAGCACTGCCTTGGGTACTGGAGGGTTTTAGTCTCTGGTTGGTAGAGCTTGATGACTGCCTTGGGTACTGAGGGTACCGAGGGTATTGAGGTGTTGGGTTAGAACCAACTAGGTGACTTTCAAAGATGAAGTTGACGCAGACGTGACAACTGTGTCACGAACTACGTCGTGACACCTCCATTATTCCACCAGCAATGACCCTCCTTTGACCATCAAAACCCCCATCACGGCTTAACCTCTTTACTCTACACGTAACTCAGGACATCTGAGACCAAGTACGGCGAAGTTAGACAGAGTTAGGCTACGTAGGGACAATGGGAGCAGAAGTACGGCGAAGTTAGGCGGAGTTAGTCGGAGGAGGAAGAGGATAGCCGGGGCTCGGGGAAGTTGGACGAAGTGCGTCGAAGTACGCCAAAGCGCGAGAGGGTTGGATGAACGTCTAGGAGGAGTAAACAATATTAGCTGAGAAGATCGCTGAAGTTCTTCAGCGATCCTTGATTGTTGTCAGTAGTGAAAGATAGATAGAGATAGCTATTTACAAATCGAGATACATCGCCATCAGTAGAACAAAACCCCAGTTAGAGTAACTACGCCAAAGTACGCCGTAGTTACACCCCTTTCGATGTCTGCGCCCTCCCGGTTGGGTGAGACATCGATTTAGAAGGATCAAGTTAGCCGAGGTTCATCGACCGTCGGTCTATTAGGAAGCAGTTGTTCGACGGGCGTGACAAACTGGACTAGTCTCAGATTTGATGTCACAATCCCCTTCTGTTGAAAAAATTGGCCTGCCGGACCATTGGCTAGGAAGCTTATTTTACTTACTTCAACTCCTTTCATCCAGCCTTTGATGGCGCTGTACGGCCTTGATTTAGTCTCATCACCACTTTGCATCCTTCATCTTACAATTCTGATTCTCCTTTCTCCCTCAACATCCTCATCTCTTTCACTCGTCTTTCACCATTCATCCATATCTTCCTGCTATCCTTTTCTCACCCATTGCTGCTGACTGATCAGGGTATGTGGGTCAATCTCTGCCTTTCCTTTATGTTTGGTTCATGCTGACCTTCCAAAGCGTATGACTTTGATTCCTGACTGACTCTCAACTCTTTGACATTTCAAATCCACACCTCCTCCAACTCTTTGAACCGACACCTGCTGTTAAGACCTGTCCCCAGCGAAAGGTTGTCCGGATGTGGAGACAGGGTGGACAGCAGAAGTTTACAGCAAGCTTGGTCTACGACTGGCGGGAGTAGACCGTAGTGCTGGTGCAAAGGTCGACAGAAGATGTATCGAGTAGGAAGGAGGTAATAAATATAGATCAAGTATAAGAGTGTCTAGTAGTTGGAACTATATACAAAGGAAGGTGGGACTTTGGAGTGAAGACCCAAAGTCAGGCTTGATGATAGATGGAGTGCCACCCGTAGGATGATCATGCACTGTCTATGGTCAAGGATGACTTTGGGGAGAGCGGAGAGGTAATGAGGAAAAGTGAGGTGCTTTAAGATAGTTTTCGTCGTTAAAGTAGATACCCATTCCGCCGCCTTTATATACCTTTCAGAATTACACGTTTTCACACTGATTCCCACAATCCACAATGTGGCGTGTGGAGTCACATGACTTGCACAATTCCACAATGAGGTGTGTGGAGTCACATGACTAGCACAATTCCACAATGAGGTGTGTGGAGTCACATGACTAGCACAATTCCACAATGGGGGGTGTGGGGTCACATGACTTGTTGTGATGAGGTGTTATGACCTGGTCATAACACCGTCTTTGACTCTTCAAATTGACACCTGCTTGAGCCAGTGCCTGGAAACATTCCGGCTGCAGGAGTCAAACTTAGAATCCACCAGGACAAATTTTCACCCTAAGAAAGATACATATACATTGAAGTATTGGAGAACTTGTGAGCTCCTCACCCTTCTCTCCCCTGAACACTTCAGTCTTCACCACTTCTGTCTGGATGTCTGTCTCATTCCATCTGTCTGGATGTCTGTCTCATTCCATCTGTCTGGATGTCTGTCTCATTCCCTTCTCTCTCTGTGATATCCCATACTTTCTGGTCAGACATGTAAACATAGGGGGCACTGCTGCCATTCCCCCCCCCCTGCGCTATTGCTGACCTGAGCTTAGAAAATGAATACAAGCAGTGAGTTGTTCATAATATGAACACCACATCCTCTTCATCCCAAGCCAATGTTGTCCGGCATCCAACTTTCCTGCACACACTGTGTCATAAATCTTGAATCTTGGTCGCAGCACAAGCAGTTTATAAAGGGTCTCAGCTCATACTATGATGAGCTGAGCATTGGATCTTTTAGCACAAGAGCTTAGTGCACGTCACCCTTTAGGCGTATGCATTACACACTGTCACAAAACAGGGAGAATTGCTGCCAACTTTTGTTTCTATACCGTGTGACTGCTAAAATTGGAGATAAAACCACATCCCACCATTCTCCATGGGTTTAAAACAAAAAACCCCGCAAACCCGGCTGTAAGAAGGAATATTAGGATTCAATACACATTTTACCAGGTAGGTCCCATGTACTATGACCAAGCTGATGACAGCCATATTTTACCCGGTTTCCCTTACCACCTGCAAGAGTTCTTTGACAACAGGAGAAGCAAACATAATCCACGCCATTGGACAACTCCCAAATAACTTTCGACAAACTCCTTCTAAATGAACAAACACAGCTTCCTCCACTCACATTGATCTTGGCAGACAAGGTAAGCACACATTTCAGTCAGCTAGAGCTGATAACAGTATCCTCTTGCCATCCCCTGCTCTCTAGAGGATGCTGGAATGCCAAACGGACATCCAATGTATTGGTTTTTGGCTTTCAATCTAAAGCTTTGGGCCGATAACCTGGACATTCTGAAGGCGTGGGATAATGTTGTGAAAGTGAGTTGCTTCTGCATCAAGTTGTCTTTGTGTACAGAGGGTGTCAAAAGTCTTGGGACACTTTGATGTTGGTTGATATTCTACGGAATAGGATTGATTAGTAAACACCATCCTTTTTCCTATTGAGCACAGATCAGGTGTCCCAAAACTTTTGACACCCTCTGTACTTACTTTAAAGTTGGGATTAGTTTCAGCCTGTAGTTCATCAAGCTCCAGGTCAAAATCAGGAGACTTACCGTTTCATCCTGTTGTTTGGTTCCCATTCAATTGTTGTAAAGATCATACTCATCCATTTCTCTCCCAAGACACTTGAGTGGACGAAACAAAATCATTCATGACCACCTTTGACAGAATTGGTGGAGGGGGAGCCAAGAAGAATCTCCAGAAGTCTGATCCAGAAAACATACAGAAGAAATGTCAAGGTAACTTTGCCTTGACTTCAACCAGTTATTCTTCGCTCACATGCAGGTCTCATTACTTTGTACATCATTTAGCCAACTACATGGAACACAAGACCAGAGTTGACTCTTCTTCTTTGCGCCTAGGACAAATCGGAGCTTCTCTAGCGATCAACCAAGGGCAGTCGGAAGGGTGGCACTTTGACTGTAATGAAGATGTTGGGACCTATTCTGTCATTTCAGTGTTTGCCACAGGAGGGTGTAGCTCTACTCCAGAAAGACATCAAGGATGGTTGGTCCTGCCTCAACTCAATGTAGAACTGGGGATGCCAATTGGTAAGTCCTGGATTCTTCACCATGGAAACTTAGAAGATTCACTTTATATAGGGTCTGTCGTCTTCTTCCAAGTGCTGTGGATCCAACCATCCCCTACATACTGATCAATTCCAAGCTAACAGATTCTCTTTCAGACACCCCCACCCCTGTCTCTTGTCTGCTTATCATATTCTAAACAAGGGCTTATACGCACTTGCCTCAGTTACACCTTCTCTACCTATAGTCTCTTCTGTCTCTTAGTGTACAGTATTCACAGATAACATATCAAAGATGCTAATTCTGCTACGTCTTTTCTACATCAAATGTTGGCTCATTTATGCATATAAGCCGGGTGTGAGGGGGAACTCTTCCCCCATAGTCTTTCTTCTCCCATCCTCTTTCTTCATTGTCTTTCTTCTCACTTCATCTTCCCCTTCCACCTCATCCTCCTTTTTACTCTATCCTCTCTCACACACTCTTTGGTTTCCTTGACATACTCTTTACTTACATCTACTGATCTTTGATCATCCCTGACTAGTATTACCCACATCACAGAGTTCCGATTCAGTATCTAGCCCTACAGGTAGGACACATTTATTTATTTGTAGTGATCCTCACAAGCAGGATCATTACACCAAGGTTCTCATCTGCTTCACTACATGAGGGAACTTGACAAAGTGGACAGGGAGAAAAAGTTGGTAGTCACTGCCTTCACCTGTAATGAGATGTCCAAGTATTATGAGGGGCATAAACATGACATTGTTGCCAAACAAGTATCTTAGAGGATGGCTAATTGATGCATGACAATTACCTTTCAAGCCATCAAATCAGATCAACAAGAGGGGGGAGTTTTACAAAGACCAACCAGCCTGTCTCAAGACTAAGCGGGGGACATCCTACTCCAAGTTCCTTAAGTGCCTCCTTGCAGATCAAATGCACTTCTTCTGTAACCCACTCCAGACCAGCTCACCAGCATGTTTTGCTGCATTGAGCTCCAACTTGGCTTCCTCCAGTTGTCTCTCTGAGAACACCTGCAAACAGTTGCAACCGTCAAATCAGATTGGAAAAAGGTAGATGTCTTGTTGTGACACTCCTGATGGATTGATCTTGCTAGGTTACCAACGGATAGGGTAAGTGTTATGGAAGACAAGATGATGATCAGGAGCATCTTGAAGAAGAGGAGCATAGATCCACCAAAACAAAGCACTGAGGAAACTGTCTGTCATTCCTGTACATTATGTACCCAGGTATCTCATTCAAGGGAATGAAGCAGGTCTGCAGTCGTTCCTCAAATTTGGTTACAATTGTCATGACCACATCATTCTTGACTCCAACCCAACCCACCCAACCTCTTTCTATTGTGATGTTGCGGACAGAATTTAAATATGTGCGGGGTGGGGCTTTGGAGAGATCGGGGTGTGAGCAAATCTCTCTGTCCTGATAAGCAGCTTGCAGAATACAACCTGAAAGACTTGCCGGAAAGATGCTTGAGCTTTTGACATCAAGCCTGTCTCACCTCCACGATCAATACCTGAGGTAAGCTGTTGAAACATTGCTTTGTTGACCTTATGTAGAGCCCATGAACATTTGAAGCAGAATGATTGCTTGGGAATGCATGTGAAGCCAGAACCCTTCCTGAGAAGACATTATGGATACCATATATTCCAAATCCATATTGAGATAGCTTATCATGCCCATCAACGGACCACTGCTCATTGGGTCCTACATTGATCAGAGACTGGCAATGAAGGTGAGGACGAGGATTGTCCAGGCGTCGGGCGTCCACTGCCACCGGTTCCGGAGCCTTCAGTGCTTTGAGCACATGCATTCTGCACATTAGCATTCAGGGCTACACTGAGTTCAGAAACATACTGTGTGGCTTGCTGCCCCTTTGTTCTCAAGGCATGTTGAACACCCTGGAAACCTCAATGTTTATCCGTGAGTGGGAGAGAACCAATCATGTCTTTGAGCTGTTCACCTTTAAGACCTCCCTTCCATGGACCCATCAGGGAAAGCTTTTGAAGAGTGCAGTGAAAAGTTGCTTTAGATGACATTGTGTCATCATGAGTAAGTCTGCAATATACTCAATGTACCCCAACCTCAAAGAAGGATGGGTAGTATGGAGCTCCTCCTTCATTTTCTTGTACGAGCCATTGTGTTTCACCAGCTGTATTTGCAGCAATTCACTCAGTTCTCTCAGATCATCTGGTGTGAGAGCATGGTGATTATCCCTTTGAACTCACCATGTGTGAAGAGTAATGATTATGTCAACATTGTGAGGTAAGGTATGATGGAAGAGAGAGGATGATCCAGAGATTGTAAAAGCAAACACACTGGTTTTGTATCACATCTCCAATGCGGAAGCCACGTCAGAGTGTCCCACACGGAAATAGAGACATTCATCCAAATCTTATTACTGGGGACTGAGATCTTTCTCAATGGTCATTTTACGGACCATGGGAGGACGGGAAGGGTCTGGTTCTGTAGGTATGAGATTTACAACTCTTTTACTTTGAGCAACTTGATTAATTTCCTCAAAGTCCTCCCAATGAGCTGCTGGTGTCTCATCACGTCTCCAAAATGGAATATTTTGGGGGTCACAAGTGTACTGCCAAGACAGGAGGTTGTTGGGCTTTCTGAAAGGCACCAAATAAAGCTACTTGCAGACTTCATTACAATTGTGATGACAGATGAAAACCTCCAATGCTGGTTTGCCAGAGTCACCAGGAGAATGACAGTGGGTGAATGTAATGCATACGCCTAAAGGGTGACCTTGTCACGAATATACGACTGATGATGATGAAGCCGCAATGGCGTGTCTCAAACCGTCTTAAAGGAAACAGCAAGTTAGAGTAGAGAGTTGAAATCAAAGATGACATTTGATCAGAGAGACAGAGAAACAAACAGAGAGCTAGAACCACTATTTATAGACAAAATCCTGCAAAAACTCCTTCCTCCCCTCTCCTACTTCAAGGAGGGAAACCCTGAGGAAACCCTGTATCAAAAGCTGTGTTTTAAACGAATTTTCAGAAGCCTCTGACTCATACTAGAAGCCCCAGAAGAGATCTCCTCATCAAAGGCTGAAAACCCATTGAAAAGTCAGACAAATGAAGGAGCGCGAGAAGTGATCTTGAGGCCTGAGCTCTGATCTTTCAGGGGGTTCAGAGGGTGTTTCTTAGGCGCCCCCATTATGCAGATTTTGACTCAAAAGTACCTGGTTTGGTCCCGCGGGTTTGGTAGAGGTTTGAGAGGTTTGAATATAGGATAAATATGCTTAGGAGATGCTTAGGAGAGTGGTTTTCCTTCTGGTTCTCTCTGTTGAGTCATCCGCACTGCTGAAAGAGAGGAAACTTCTGACCATTAGTGCGTACTCCTCATCACTAGTGTGTACTCTTCATCAGTGGCGTACACTTGTCGATCAGTAGCGGGTGTGTTTTGATCAGTAGCGTGTTTTCCATTTTCAAACACGTGTTTCCACAAGGATATCTTGACAACCGGTTGACCGGTTGACCCTGTGGTTGACCCTGTGGGTGACCCGGTGGTTGACCCGGTGATTCATCCTGTGATTGATCTGGAGAACCAGTTGTTTGGTAACCAAGAGAGTCGCACTACCGTTGACAGACGTACATACTCTCCTATGATGTCAGTGGTGTGATCGCTAATTAAGGTACCCGCAATTGATCGCTACTTAAGGTACCCGTGATTGATCACAATTTGAGGTACGTGTAATTGATCGCTAATTAAGGCACTCATTAGTAATTAAGGAATTGATGGCTAATTATCGATCATTGATGATTCTGTTGTTTGTTGATTGGGACGGGTTCATATACAGATATAGATGCCGACCGGCCATCCGGCTAATATTGCTCCCAAGGTACCCTTGCTTATCAGTTCGTCCGGTCTGAGCGGATCCGAGGACACAGAGCCTGGTACATGTCAGCCGGAGCTTGGGATGACAACAGATGACAATGGATGACAATAGATGACAATAGATGACAATAGATGACAATAGATGACAATAGATGAAGATAGATGACGATAGATGATGTGATTGATGTATACAATGTCGAGTCAGGTTGACTCAGTGATGGGAGGGTGATTAAGGTTGAATGGTGATCCACATGTTGTACAATGGAACGAGTTGAGACAAGTTGACTGGACTTGAGTGGATGATATGCACATGGTATTTACAGATATTCGAGGGTTATGACGGGTGCTCCATATCACGACAAACTCAAATCCAAGTTTGAGAATGAACTTGACATCTGCACCATCACTGAACCCAATATTCCTCAAGAACTTATCCATTTCTTTACACTTTCCAATCCTACAGCCCCTAACACTTGATTACATGGGCGAGCTCAGAAGAATTTTGATCACGGTCTGGAAATGTTGACCAGCCTCAACCTCGGTCCGCCACGTCAGCTCTCTCTCTCTCTGCCCCCCAGGGTGTACCAAGCTCTTTCAACATGGCCAGCATTCCCTTTCATGTTGTCACACCTGCGGGTAGACTGCGGTTGCAAAGTACTGCCTTGGGTACTGAAGGGTTTTAGTCTCTGGCTCGTAGAGCTTGATGACTGCCTTAGGTACTGGGGGTACTGAGGTGTTGGGTTAGAACCAACTAGGTGACTTTCAAAGATGAAGTTCAACTTCAAGATGAAGATACATTGCTGAAGAAGAAGGGGGGAGAAAGTGCTCCTTTTATACCCTTCAAAACTAAAGTAGGTGTACTAAATAAGAAGCGTGTGCGCACCGCGGGAAAGTGAATCCAGCCAATCAGGTAAATGCCTCAAAGTGTGCACACCGCGGGAAACTAATTCCAACCAATCACGTAAATGCCTCACTGCTAATCTGCTGAACCTTCCAGGCTTCAGTCAATCACATAAAAGCCTCACTGCTGAACTGCTAAATACCATGAGTCACATTTTCCTTCAATCCTTATCACAGTCCTAAGCATGAGTCATATTTCCTTATCACTGATCTGAGCATGAGTCAGAATTGCTTATCACAATTCATGACAGGAGCTCCCCCTCTAAGGGCGAAGTCCTCTGAGCCTTGTTGATCTACGCTGAGATCTTTTGTTGTTGTCTTGAGTTGTGTCTTGATATTTTTGTCAATGAGCTTT